TAGTTCTGTGTACAAATTATGACGTTGACTCATATAGTCCTTTTGATCTTCCCCCTTTTGAGCGTATTTTTTTTATCAAAGAATCTATCTCTCACACCGTCTGTTGGACTGTCTGTCTGTCTCTTTCTTCCTTTATTTCTTTCTTGAAGGAGCTCTCACTGTTTCGGGAGAGGAGGCAGTAACGAAGATCAAAGAACTGCAAACAGTGAATCATCATTTTTGAGCGCTTGTTTGTCTGCCATTGACATGACTGTTTCTTCACCCTCGTTACTTGCCATTAATCTCTAGAAGAGTGGATCAGTAAGTCGGTAGTCTAACGCGTATTGAATAGATGAATTTTGACTATTTACGCTTCGATCTATGTGTTTATTAAATGTAGTGATAAGAAAGGATATTGTGTTGTAAAATAAGTATTTGTTAGGTAAAACAAAAAAAAGAAGCTATTTTCATTCTGAGACTAACCATATATATACATTTTAATTTTACTGATTCGGTAAAATATTAGCATACCATAATGAAAAAAACGACCCAAATTTAATATAAAGAATGTTTTATCGTTAAAATCTTTATTTATTAAGAGGAAAGACCAAAGGATTTTTTGATTATTTTATTATATTTTTGATCCTTTTTAGAACATTCGAAATTTTGGTTTAAAAATTTGTTTTTGTTGTACCAGTAATGAACACTAATATACGAAATTTTAGCGTCTTTTTGCGATGAAAAACACATTGAGTTGGAAATTCTTGCACAAATCAAATAATTGTCGTGCTTTAATGATTCTTTAAGGGTTTATTCAGAAATGAGTGAAATTATTTATTTTAGAAAATCTTGTTAATTTTTTTTACATCCCCACCGGTGCTCGGTAAAAATGGCAACGGTAAAAATGACAAAAGTGGATAAATAGGAAAAAATAGAAAATTATGACAACAGAAAATTATGACCGTTCGAGAAGGATGGGTCTAAGCTCCCATCCCTCTAGTTTAAAATAGGGTTAAGTCCGTCCCCCACTCAATATTTTAAAATAAATATTTATTTACTCTAGTGGGTCGGGGAGCTAGGTTCCTACTCCTAATTGCAGTAAAAGCACAAATCGTAGCGTGTTTAAGTTAATTTGATGACTATAATTAATTTTATAATTGATAGCTGACATTAGGATTAGATGTGTATATATATATATATATATATATATATATATATATATACATATATGAAATAAGTGTATTAGTGTATATATATATAAAAAATAAGTGTATTAGTATATATATATATATATATATATATATATAAAATATATATATATATATATATATATATATATATAAAATAAGTGTATTAGTGTGTATATGTATATATATATATATATAAAATAAGTGTATTAGTGTGTATATATATATATATATATATATAAAATAAGTGTATTAGTGCGTATATATATATATATATATATAAAATAAGTGTATTAGTGCGTATATATATATATATATATATAAAATAAGTGTATTAGTGCGTATATGTATATATATATATATAACATAAGTGTATTAGTGTGTGTATATATATATGTGTATTAGTGTGTGTATATATATATATTAGTGTGTACATATATATATATATATATTTATATATATAAAATAAGTGTATTATTGTATATATATGTTTATATATATATAAAATAAGTGTATTATTGTATATATATATATATATATATATATATAAAATATATATATAAAATAATATATATATATATATATATATATTTATATATATATAAAATAATTTATATATATAATATATATATATATATATATAAATATATTTATATATATATATATATATATATATATATATATATATATATAAAACATTTTTATAATAGGAATGTTTTTTCTTTGAAAATATTTTTTAAATAGTTTATTATTTTTTATAATTGGAATGTTTTCTTTTTGTGTGAAAATACTTTTTAAATAGTTTATATTGAAAACATTTTTTAATACTTTATTCTGTTTTTTAAATAGTCTAATAGTTTTTTATAAATAGAAATGTAACAAAATTTAAATATATTAAACGTCATAGTAATAATGTATCGTTTTTTTATTCGACTGCATTACTGATTCCCACGTGTTCAAACTAGTGAAATTAAAAAAAAAAAAACAACTCTAAATGTACAAAACTGACGAGGAACTGTTTTCCGATAAACACCGCTTAATGTCGGTTTCTGATTTCAAGTAGCCGTGATCAAGTGGACCTATAATTGTTTTTTCCTAAGTTTTTCAGTGTGTTCAGACGTAATCGTAACCGGCTGATCGGTTGGACTCTCTGCCTTCGGGCGGGGAGGAACCCGAACGAGGCTACGCCGAAGGGCGGAGTCTCTTTCGGGGAGGTAAACCGACCCTGAATCCGTTTATACGGGTTAAAAGGGCATATTTTTGGTCGAGCACACAGGCTCGGAGATCCCACGTTAAACCGGCCTTGTGCCACATGATGCCCTCGCCTGTGTGTGTGTGGGGGGATGGGGGTGACTAAATACTGTTCAGACGTAATCGCCTAAAAAGTAAAATCTCATGGGAGAGGGGAGCTTTAGCTGAATATTCTTTTTAATTTGACAAACTTCTCATGTTTTTCTATTATGTATTGTATCCAAGATTTTAATAAACTCATTGTGAGATATTCATCTATATTTTTTCTTTTACTTTTGCCATTTTTCTTATTTATCCATTTTTGCTATTTTTACCGCTGCCATTTTTACCTAAATTCATCCCCACCCGCATTTATTTAATTTTATGAAATTTCGAGAAATTGAATTCTGTAGTGTTTACTGTTTATATTAGTTAAAAGCATATCTTTTCGGAGAATTTAAATTGTCAATTTCCTTTTGAAAAACAGGATCCCCCAGTTATTGAAAATCTGCTCTAAATCAAAAAATGAAAAAAAGCAATGAAACTAAGAAATTATTTAATTAGAAAAAAAAATTAATTGCTTATATGAATAATATATATCATAGGTACTATTGTCTTAATAAAAAAAAATTCGATGACAAGAATTGTTTTCATTTTTTCAAATTTTAATTATAATGATCTCTAAAGTTTCAACTCTTTTAACATGTATTACTTTTCAGAGGTTAGGTGATATCGTTATTAAGTGAAAACTATATTTACTAATAATAAATGGAAAAGCTTGTTACAATTAAGCGGCCCCCAATATTTTAAAAAGAATTTTGAAATCATTTTTGCATGTAACGTTTCGATTTTTCTAAATACGGACGTCCATACACGCCATTTTCAGAAACTAAGTGTGATAACTATAGTAAATTTAAAGTCAAAGTACCTAAAATTCAATAAAAAATTAGATTACGGAGAAAATTTCCTATTTTTTTTATGATAACCGGATAGTTCAAAATTATATATGAAGGCGCTCACGTTGTATTCCTCAAGTAAATTTTACAGATATGTCGACCGTAGAAAAAAATTAGGTAAACTTCATCTGTCAGTCAATCTCTCAACAACTTAAATAAACACTTACTTCCGTCTTGATAAATGCAATTCTGTGATATTTTAAGCCTAAAGTAATATTTGTTTCAAATCAGATTAATTAAACTTTTAATCACCTAATATTCTGCAAATACATTATCAGAAAAGTATATTTTATTTTTGAAAGATTTTTAATAACGAATATGTGATGAATGATGATTAAAAATGACGCTAAAATCAGCAATTCTTAGTAATTTGAAAACGAAAAATTTTTTTCAGCCAATTTAAATTCGTTTTGAAATACAGCAATGGATTTTGCTTATTGGAAACCTAAAATTTAATCTATTAACTTGAAATTAAAACTAAAATAAAAAGCTTGAAGAAAGATCTTTCATTTTAAAAAATTCATTTTAAACCTTAGGTATAGAGTTTCTGTACCTATCTCCATATTTATTAGATTCGTTAAATCTAGTATAATTAAATCCGATGAGGGAGCACACATAATACTCATAATATATACAAATACCTCGGCGTATGGATCAGTTATAACAAATGTAGTCTAGGAGATAAGAAAATTGAACATAGAATAGGCTGCGCTAGAGATAGTTTCGCCCAACACCACAAATTGCTACAAAACTAAAAGATTAACCTGAAAATTTGAGTCATCTTCGTAAATAGCCTAGTCAGATCAAGACTTTCATATGGTTGTCATGTATGGCACCAAATCCGTAAAGAAATATCTAAATTCTCTGCGGTATACAACCGCTTTCTCAGGTCAATGGTTAAAAATAATTTTGAGTGAAGGAAGTCTGTGGATCTTTGTGAAGAACATCCTTCTCCGAACCCCGTGGATTGGCGCTATAGAATCACAAAATGTGACAGATAACAGAAACCACATAACTTGAGGACATTCAAGATTAGCAACAGCTAAAATGGGTAGCACAGAAAATAATGACAATCAAGAAACTTCAATCAAAAAAGGAAACCCCATCAACACTGGAAAGAGTGATAACAGCTACTGGAGGTGAGGAATCTATTTTCTTGAAAACATTTTTAAGCGAAATAAATTATAAACTTCAACTGACAGTAGAACTCGTTGCTCAGTCAATGAAAGCCTAATGTTTTCTTATATATTGCTCTTAGATTTACTCTTGCATGATTTTTATTGTTTGTCTTAGACGCAGTCGAAATTACACATGCAGTGGATTTGATTATACTCATCTATTCTGTCTTGATGCAGAATAAATGCTATTTTAGTCAATAACTTTCTATCCTTGTGGGTTATTTATTATTATAGTGAGTTGGTTAGTTTAGTCTTTCTGTTTAGCACCGTATTACCCTCTATGGGTTATTTAATGCTCAAATCTAAATATTTTATACACAATTCTATTTATTTATTATGGATATAATATTAGTTTTAATAATATACGTCTTACTAATTAATCTAATGGGAAAGAATTTCCAAGTGATTTAGTAAGTGAATATGATTAACAATTCTGAACCATTATCCATTACACCATCGGCACATCAAAGCTTACAGTACCTGGTCTTCCTAAGAAGTCACCCATCTAGGTACTGACCAGGCTCGACGTTGCTTAGCTTCGGTGATCATACGGGAACCAATGTTTCAACGTGATGTGATCGTAACCCTTTACTGAAGTGAGTTAGAAAATTAATGGTAGTACGAATGATCATCATCGATGCAACTCAAGATGTAAAGGAATTTCTATTGCAATCAAAGCAGAAGATCCTGAAGATGGCTAGTCGGTCAGAAAAATAAGCACCAGGTTCCAATCGAACAGTTAACAATTATTTAGAAATCCATACTCTCGACAATACAATGAAGAACATAGCGTAAAGTAACGAAAATGGATCGAACTGAATTCAAAAATTCCAGCGTACGGAAAGGCATGAACCCAATTCATTTTTGCTCTTTATGCAGCCTTGGATTTTTATTCATAGATTTGAAGAATTTCTCTGGATGAAAAAACGGCAAGAAAAACTCTCCTGTATTTCCTAAATAGATAATAAGGAAAGGAATCTGTGGAGAGCAATTATCACCTAAGAATGGCGAAAAGAAACTTGTATAGATGATTTTCTTATTTTAATTCTTTGCTTGCAATTATTGCTAGTCATTCACAAATCTTAAAAATTCTGAAAATAACTTCAAATGATGGAGTACTGTAAACTTTTCGACGCCGCCCTCTTTCTAAATTCTGACCAAATGGATGAAGCGAATTTTTTAAAGAACAAACTCTTTTCATGGTTAGGTCGAGAATACTTTCAGCATCCTGTCGTTATAACTCCCAACCAGAAATTAATTAGCTGGGGTTGAATAGCGAAAAGTGCATTCCAAAAGCTAAGCAATGTATTAACAAACAGAAAAATTCCGTTAGAAAAATGTACTGAACTTTTATGTAATATCAATACTTCTATACGGCAGTGAATGCTGGACAATTTTCTCACAGATGAAGAAATTTAAAACAACAGGAAGGTGGTTCTACAGAAGCATGTTGAGAATACAATGGACTGAACATACGAACAGTAACGAAATTTTAGAATAAATGGAAACAAAATGGACGCTTATACTCATAAAGAGACAGTTGAAATAAATATTAAGATGGGGAAAGTAGTCTTGGAGAATTCTTTATATATATTGAAGGCAAGAGGGACAGAGGAAAGCTTAGAATAACCTACCTAACAAGCTTGTGTAAATAGTTGTTAGAACAGATATTAAGAGAGATAGAAAAAAAGGCAAATATTAATAAGAGTAGAAAGTTGTGGAGAGTCAATGACCTCAAGGGAATACGGCATATAGAAGAAGAATGTATAGTTCTTGCTAATGTTCAAACATTAAAACAAACGCTAAGGTCTGGATTAATTTCCTGTTGGCCTAATTATATTGTTGATTTTATGCATATCTCTCGTATATATGTTCACAGATATACAGGGTGTATCAAAAACCTTTACAAGCTTTAGGGGCAAGGACAAAAATATACATAAACATATTGTTATAGAGTAGTTTCACAGTGGAGGCTTGTATTTCACTAAGTCGGTCCTAAAAAGGTTCGACGTACAAAACGTTAGGAACGTGATATAATAGTTAGTGACGCAGCAATCTAATTGTGGTGGTTGATACTTTAATGTCCGACATCGACTGACTGACCAGCTCACTCAGCGACTGACAATTGCTACTACTACTACTACTTATTATAGGTGGGAGAGTCTATTAACTATTAACTATAGAATAGGTGTGTTCCAGTATAGCACATATGTATGCAAATCCTTCGTTTTTGAATAATTAAATTGAAACTGTACGGTAGACCAGTTTTTAAATGTACAATCCAAGATACAATCTAAAATACATTGACAGATTTTTTGCGAATGATACGGATGCAGGAACTGATCTTGAAGTTCCATCCATGCGGTACTATGGGACGTACGACATGCTAGTGTCACTTGATATGTGCTGATACCTAGATCGTCCCCGACAGCCTGTAGAATGTGTTCTTCGTGGTCAGGCGTACGAAGGGATCTCGGTCTTCCTCAATCCATAGATTGTGGTGACAAGGTACCTGTCTCAGCAACGCGATGATAAACAGCGGCAAAGGTTGGATGGCTCGGATTCTTTACGTCTGGAAACGCAATCTGATACAGTCGTGCAGCCTCGCGTGAATGGTAATGAGTGCGACTGTATGTAAAAATCACAATATAAACTGTTGAAACTTGACTGATGCATGGAATAATAATGCAACACAAAATGTACTTAGAAGAAAATGTATTGAAACAAGAAAGTGTACACAATATTTACATATAGTCTTTTGTATATTCCCGGTAAGACCGTTCCTGGAGAATGTGTTGACTTAGTCGCAGTCGGGCAGAGTCTCTGGATTGAATCTCTTGATTCCTCCCCTCTCTTCACGGTACCAACCATATGCAAATTAGGTGGATCCTACCACAACATAAACATCCTGCCATTTTTATCAGTTAACTTACTACTACGCACGTTAAACCTTGAAGACAGTCTCTTCACAAATGTACACGAATGACAAACGTAACCTAGTCTATATGGCAATACAGTACAAACTACCGTAAACTTTCTTTGAACTTAATAATTCAAAAACGAAGGATTAACAGACATATGTTTATACGGATTTTGTCTTTGATTTGGTAAGAGGAGCCCGCCCCAAAGTGTGTAAAAGTATTTTTGATACACCCTGTATATCTACAAAGGCACAAGGCACATTTTCATATCCCAGCATAACAAAAGTACACTTTTTGATCTTGTCAACATTGTGCTTAGCTTAACCTTTTCATTTCCTGTTTACGTCTGCTTTTCCCATTTTATTTTTGCGCTTTTCTCCTTTCTCCTTTCAATCTCTGACGGCGAGTTCGGTCCCACAGTACAAGTTCAGCTCCATGACCCCTCCACAGTGCAACGAAACTTCCACCTTGGCCGGAAGATGGTAAAGTGTCTCTATTGGTAGAGACCTCCTCTCGTAAACAATATTTGCATTTCAACTCGGCTCAAACGCAGCCGATAATTACTGGTCATTTCTGCTAGCGGCTTCTAATTTCCGTTGTCCAACTTTTTCCTGATTGCTCTGCGATGTTGCTTCCTCCTGACATTCACTAATTGAATTCATTACTTTATCGCTGAATACAACAAAACAAACAAAAAATACCGACGATCATCAGTTTTGGGTTCGTTATAGAATCCGACATTAAAGCAATTTTCTTTCTTTGTTTTATATTTGTTTTCAAATTTAAAATTAATTCAGTATCGACGGTAAACTACTCTAGTCCGGTGTTCATATTTCAAAAGCCAGTTCGCATTGGCTGTTTTGATGTCAGAGTTAAATTACAGAGAAACAACAAACGAAAATCTTCTTACCTACCGTACGCCGGCGATGACAAATGTCAGAAAGGGAACAAAAACATGAGCAGATATTAAATTTGGAATTACATGTTTTTGATTAAATTTCAGTTTGATTAAAAGTCAGGCTATCATCAACCGAGTTGTTTCAATTTGAAGGCACAGTAGAAATCAAAGCGAGCTCTCATATTCAACATGGTTGCCCGTTTCCGAGAATTTCTTTCGGCTCAGGTCATTTTGCATTTTTCTAAGACCAACAAAGCTAACCAGTGCCTTTTTTTCTTGGTTTTTCTTTATCATTTAACCCCAAGCAATTTGTGAATGGATGGTAGAACGGTGGCTCAGAGGGATGGAAAAAAGGCAAAAGTTAGTGAGAGCTAAAAGGGAGAGGAAGCTGTGAAGATCCATGATCACACACGTCTTAAATGAACACGGTACTTAGAAGAAGTGTTTCGAGAAGGAAAAATGAAAGGAGAATAAGCCTCAAACAAGGTAAATAAGAAAAGAAAGGTGTTCTCAGATACTGTTAATTGCCTGATAAAACCTTTCTAGTTAAACTGTAAGCGATAAAAGGAAGCCGTTCAGTATATCATTTATTCTAGTACATGCACCAACGGCACAGGGTAGAGAAAAAAAGGACTAATCATCAATTGTAAGAAGAAAGTATGTATGGCCATTAGCAAAGGAAAGTCCAAGATGCAAGTTACTTGTTGGCAATCACCTCTCGTAGATCAACGAATCGTTCCCAAGAGAACTAGGTGTTCAGGTAGGATCTATCTTTGGTGGACACTTTTTTTTATTAATCATTTCACCACAAGCAAGGGAATAAAGCCTCTAAGATATAAGGACTCACTGATTATCAAGCAATATATGAAAGATATTAATAAGGAGCGAGGGCATTTCATGACTTTATTCCAGACGCCCCTTGGTTTGATATTCTTAACCTTCCCATTGAGAATTTTGCCACAGTGATTTCTTCTTGGGTTAAAGCCGGGATTGATGCTTTTATATCTTCTCGCAAATATCAGGTGAAAAAAAAATCTTCTATTTAAACGCGGTACTAGATTGGTGAGAATGTCTCATAATTTTACAGTTGAAATGGCGAGATGTAACCGTTCTGTGTAAAATTCTAATCTAACAGTTTCTTCTCTCGCACTTCTTCGCTTGTGGAATTATCTTCTGACTTCTTGCTTTCTTGACAACTTTGATCTTCAAAAATTTAAATGCAATGTCAATCGTTATCTTCTCTCATCTTAATTCTTATTCTTTTATTGTCCTCTCTCCTTAATAGTTTTTTTTTCATATTCTCTCATACTCATTAATCTGTTGCACCCTAGTGGCTTTATTGCCTTGCTTGGGTGAAATTATTTAAAAAAAAAAAGAATAATAAAAGAAAATGAATCAAGAAGACAGTAGATAACAATTGACATTGCATTTAACGTTTTAAAGATCAAAGTTAGCTGGAAAGGAAGAAACCAGGAAAGGATTTCACAGGCGAGGAATACGAAAAAAGAGACTGTTAGCAAAAGACTTACAGTTATGTCTAGCCAATTCAACTCTAAAATGATGAGACCTTGCCGCCAATCTAGTACTGCGCGTAAATTCATAAAGTCTAGATACCATTGAGGAAAGTTCATCAGAAAATGACTATGAAAGTATGAATAGAAAATGCAAAAGGAATCTATGTTACAGTGGTGGGAAAGTGATTGAATCCGGGATGACAAGTTAAGACAAATAACATTGCAGATTCTTCTTTGGATTTTATCAAGA